CACATCTCAAGGAGAGTCTCTCCCATGCGGGCGCCGCCTTGTTTCCCGATAATATTCTAATATTAGTATCGTCAGCCAAGGGAGGAAGGGTGTGCAATACCTGGCATACCACGCGTTCTCGTCCACCTCGTGGCACGTGATCGTGATTCCTGTAGAAGACACACACTCGTTCCCGCGGCTGCTGGCCGCTTCTTCGAGAGGAAACGGAAGGAGTGCAGTACGCACTCTCGCTGTTATCGACCATATCAAGAGAACACGGGAGAGAACCAAGGGAGGACGAACGACGACGAGCGACACCGAGTGCAGCCGAGGGGTGAGAGTTTCGTACTTTCCCCTGGACAAAACACTGCGAGCCGCGGCGAATCGCCATGAACCAGCACGTTTAAACGTTATTATTACACCTCTGATACGAGTCGAATTAATGGATTAATCTCCAACGATTGAAAGGACGACACGTGCTTCGCGAAATCAACAGACTTCATCGAGAATTTCTTCGTCCAGTGTCTGGATTCCAATCGGTTAATGTCGAAGACAAACCCTTCCCTTGCTCCAAGGGAAAGAAATAATATTGCTGAGCGAGATAAAAATGTGGATAATTAAGAAAGGAAGATTATAAAGATGTTTTAAGATGTTCGGTTAATGCGTGTAAAACAGAATAACTAATTTCCTCGACGATTTGCCCGGTTTCTTCTCGTGTTAACGTGCTCGCCGATGATCGTCGATAAAAGTGAAAAACTTGGAAACATCTCGATACTCGTTGGATATATTTCTATGGAGATGATCAAGTGTATGCGTTCAGAGGAGGCAAGTGGATTCCTGATTTCTGATGATTTAGTGTCGAGGTGTAAAGATGAGAGTCTGAGACGGGTCCAGCTGCTGATTCATTTCTAGATGAAGAACCATGGAGAACGATGGTCGATGGTACAACAACATAGTCGAGGAGAAGTATGTTCAATTAGATTTTTACTTCCTTCTCCTCTATAATCCCTCCCCCCTTCTCGCGTAAATGATTTCAATAATTTCCTCGATTTCACGTACGAGAGATTGGCTTTTCTATATTTTCGATACTTTGATGGATTTGAATTGTTCCATGAATTTTTCTTTTTTTTTTTTTTTTTTTTTTTTTTTCGAAAAGAATCGTAATATAATAATTGCACGATGGCACGATGTTTTTCCATCTCGTTGATGTGTTTTTATTGCTAATACATAGAACAAGGAAATCGATAGTAAATTGTTTTACATTGCACCCCGTCGACAAACAGTGAATTATTGATTTTATCGGCAGTGTAAATATAGACAACTTTATTGCAATAGCTAAAT